CGTGCGTGCGTGCGTGCGTGCGTGCGTGCGGGCGGGCGTGCGTGCGTGCGCGCGCGTGCTTGTGTTTGTGTTCGTGTTTGTGTTTGTGTTTGTGCTTGTTGTTGTGTTTGTGTCTGTGTGTGTGTGTGTGACCGCGTTTGACTGAGAGTGACTCTATGTGGGCCGGAAGGGGAGTTCCCAAGGATGACAAGAATGAGGACGAAGACGCCGAACATGAGGAGGAAGAGGAGAAAGGTGAGGAGGACACCGAGGACGCCGAGGCCAGGGACGAGGCAACGGAGTCCGGCGACGAAGCCGGGGACGAGGCTGACAATGCCGACACCGAGCGCGCGGAGGACACTCCGAGTGCGGCGAGGGACACAGCCAAGAAGAGGTCCGACTTGGTGCCTGGGACGGTAGCGTCGAGTTCCAAATGGCAGTGGGTCAAAACCAATGAAATCCCATTTTGGGGAAGGTGCACCACACATTTTAGTTTATTTTAGTGGGGATTGGGATGTTCACTGGGGGTACGGGGTTTTGACCCATAGCCAAATGTTGGAGGGAAGATAGGGGGCTTTGGCGCAGGAAACGAGGCGTAGAGTATTTGAGTCAGTCAGCTTGAAGGTAGCGAAGGCTTGTGGCCACTTCATGGCGTTTGTTTTGGCATGGAGGAGAGTCGAAGCTGCTCACTTGAAGCATTTTTCCAATGATCGACAGCAGCTTTCTTGCGGTTTGTTTGCAGGCAAGCCACTTCTTCCAACAGCTGTTGAGCTGGACAATCAAAGCAGCGTTGGTTCCCGGTTTCATTGGACTTACCCACGTACTTCAATGTTTCTGCAAAGCTTTGGATTGCGGGCTGCCTCTTGATGAGGCACCACCACATTATCGCAAGGCACTTGTGGCTTGTGCCCAAAGTTTGTGTTCAAAACCAGGTCGCCACGAATGGGATCTACTTCACGCCCCATTGGCCAGTTTAGTAGGATGTAGATCTGGAGACTTGCTGAGGGAATTGCAGTGGCTCCACCCCCAAAAGAGACCCCGATGTGGCTGCAACTCTAACAGGCAGCAGGTTCTGAACCCGCCCGAGATCTGGCAGTTTCTGAGGGGGCCATTTTGGGAACATGCTCTTCCTTCTCCTTGCTTGGCGCCTGAGGTCAACTTCCTCTTGGAAGGGGATGACAACCCGAGATGCAAGGTGGGTGCGTAGGTACCTTGGATGGAGCCTGTTCGAATCCTAATGGTTGGTATTGGTGGCATGTGATAGCTCCGGCATGAGTTAATCCATCCCATTGTGCGGCGCGTGCAGTGCCGCCCCGAGTGCCGCTTGGCGGGGCCGCGCGACTAGGATCCGCGCGGCCGTGCGACCGGCCGCTCGACTGCTTTCTCCCACCCCGGACGTGCGCCTGGGAGCCGGTCTAATTGGCCGGACGGGAGGCTTTTGGTACCCAATGGGTTGGCCTGCTCGCGGTGTTGAGAGCTGCCGCGTTTCCGTTGGAATTACTGGCCGGCACTGCTCGCTTCAGGCAGGCAATCAAGAGTCCACATTCTGAAAATGAGCAGCTCGAGCAAGGCTTTGATACAGAGAGGCTGCACCAGACATCTTCACGAAAATCACTGGGAGATGGCATGACTGCATTTGCCGTGCGCCCGAAGATCCAGTGCCCGAGGCCAATTTCTCTTTTGGACATCGAGGTATGTTGAGTTCCTTCGATTCTTTCGGCCCCCGGCCGCCATGGCGGTATGGCGGGGGCACGGTTTTCCGCAGAGATTGCTCTCAGCCAGGATCTGGCCGTCCCCCACCCCACCCCACCCCAGGCCCTGAAAGGAGCATCCATCATTTTTGCAGCTGGGTGCGCAGGAGAAAGAGCAAGGGGTCAAACGAGCAGCATTGGACCAACGACACGCTCTGAACAAAAGGGTTGTAAACAGCCATGTTCAGCAGATCATGCAGTTAATGTCTACGTCGACGACTAATTATTAAACATCTGCAGTGCAGCCCTCAGTTTGTTTTTCAAGGCGGGTTCTGCTTGGCTTCCCATCATGGACATGCAAGGCTTCAAAGCTCCATTTAGGTAAGAACGACAAATCGACCCACTCGCACGTACGACTGACGTTTGGGGCCGAAGGCTGACTGTGAGGTCAGTAGTTCAAGGCAATAGTTGTAGAGTCTATACTCTATTCGGTGAGTTTGGGGGTTGATGGGAACTGCGCGATGCTGGTATTTTGTCAAAACCGTTGTGAGGACGCTATTGGGTGGTCATCATTGCAACCCATGATCATTGCAAGCGGGGTGGACAACCACAAAAACAAGGGGTGCCACCCAAAAAACGCCACACCAATAGTTTTTGTTTTTGTGAGTTGTTGATCGTTCGTTGAGGTGCGCTTGGGGTGTGGGACGGACAGGGTAAAGCAGACTGCTGGTGCGGGCACACCAATAGGAGTCCCGTTGCTTGCTGGTGCTCGATGGGAATGACCGTTCCGGGTGTTGGAGTTGAACCTAGAGATTCCCGTAAAAAAAGAAGAAACACCTAGGGGATGGTTTGTAGAGACCATGCGCTCATATCCTGCTGAGAACCAGCCAGTTTGTTTGAACGTATTGAGGTGCCTCATGTGAGCCAAGCAAGCAGAACCATGAACGTGCCCGCTTTGGAAAGACCTTGGGACGTTGCAACTTCCTTGCACTGGCAATCGCTTGTATTTCTGAGATCTCGCCACGATGGCCTACTGTGGTCGTTGGGCCATCCCCTTAAAGGGGAGCTGCGAAGCCCGGGGCGCGTTACCGCTGCCCGGAGCTTTTCATCTCGCCGGTCACGGAAGCCGCGGAACAGCCCGTGACAGACGCGTGCACAGGGGCGGCGAGTCAGAGTTGGCAAAGAACAGCAAAACCTGTTTTATTTAATGGTGACTCGAGCGCAACACCAAATTTCAGAGTCGGCGAGTCAGAGTCGGCATGTAGTCAGAGTCGGCAAAGAACTTTGCATGGTGATTTCATTGAGGCAGGGGGAAACTGACTGCAGTGCGGCTTCCTGTATTGGTGATATTTCGACCTGTGCCCACTATAGCAGGCCCATGTGGCACATACACTTATTTTCTTGTCCGCTCGGGGCTCTGACACGCCGGATGCCACCTCGAGGCTGAGGTGCCTGCAGGCAGAGGCTGTACAACAGCCACAAGAGCAAAAACGTCGCCCTGCGCTGTGCTCGGGGCCTCCGACCGCTGTTTCTATGGGATCTATGTGCCTCATATTCCAACGAAAGCGTGGGCCAGCAATTGGTTCACTTTAGCACGCGGTTGTCGGCATATATATATATATATATTAAAAACAACAAAATATCAAAATCGGGCTTTTGGTTCCCTGCAAAACTGTCCAAAAAGGGCGCCCATTTTGAGACACCCCCACCTAGCGTGACACAAAAAGCTGAGCTTCTCCACGTCCTTTGCCTCCGAGGATTGGTCGAAGAAGGACCGGTCGGTGAATGGTTTTCCGCCGATCCAATTTACATTACCCTCCCTCCAACAATCATGGAAGTTGACAGGAGAGCTTTGGAAGATATTTTCCTTTTGGGGAACCCCTTTGTGCACTTCCATGATTGTTGGAAAGAGGGTAAGTGGCCAAGACACTGTGACATGGTGCAAGTTTTCGTCCGCTTCCTGACCTACAAGGCTCCTTCAAAGGGCCTTCCGATGGTCATGAAACATGAGGCTTGCCACTTTTTCTTTTCCACACTCCCACATGGCTGTGGGTCAAAACCCCGTGCCCCTGGTGAACATCAAAATAGGTGGCAAATGCATGTTCCACCCCCAATTTTGGGATCGCCATAGGTGATGCACTGCATGGCCACGTATTTCCCAGTGGGGATTTTCGATTTCCCGAGGCCTTTTCCAGCACCTCCCGGCCAATTGGCGCTCCTGCGCCAGCGCGGCCACAGGCTGGAGCTTGGGTTTGGTTCTTTTGGACGCTCGGAAACATGTGGGTATGGGTCAAAATAAGTCACCACCAGGAATTGGACCGCAGATTTTAGTGAATGTTTCCATTCACCAGGGCAACCCATTTTTGGGTTACCCTATTTTTGACAACCACAGCCATGTACGGGCTCTAGTGGAGGTTTCCTCTTAGAGGCCTGCCAAACTTGTCTGGCCATCAAAATTGTGAACATCCGATTCAATCCAACCGCGAAAGTAGGTAACCTAAAATTTGGGTGGTGAATTCACCTACCAACCAAAATGGGATACCATTGGTTTTGACCCACAGCCGTCTCAGGAAAGTAAAAAACGGATCAGCTGCGCGGCATTGCGCTTGAGGCTCTCTCCATGCGCCTTGAATCTTGCATGGGGTCTCAGTGCTAAGCCTAAGCTCAGACTTCCCCAAACTGCAACGGCATTTAGGCCGATCTTGGCATGAGCGTTTATGCAAATGGAAACCTCTTGTTGATAGATCGTCCGCTGCAATGTAGAAAGCAGTGGGCACATTTGTATGGAATCCACGCGGCATCTTCGACAGGAAAACCGGCTGGTTCGACCCTTTGGGGTAAACTTGGTTTAGATGCTGGGACAGGGCGGCTCGTCTCAACCCCTCAACCCCCCTTTCAGCTTAGAGGAATGTGGTCTTGGAAGCCAAGACAGAAGTCAAATGGGGGGCTGAAAGTTAACCTCGGATCACATGACAGCTCGTTGTCAATTTTTGGTTTGCATTGTCACAGAATTCGCATTCTGTTTGAGTTGTAACAAGGGCCACTGAGAGAGCAGCGGTCAGGAGAGATTCGATTCTGGCTTTCTGCCGCCTGTGTACTCTCACACGAACTGATGACCTTGTCAAACAAAACGGCTGCGATCAGTCGAAACGGTGCGCAGTCAGGTGCGCTTGGGTTCAAGTCACACGGGCAACATCAGCTTGCCGTCACTTTGTGATTAGAGGACCAGGGATACCCTTCTGATGCTTTTGACAATGGCCTGGCTCCATTTGCACCCAGCAGCAAAGAGACCACCGATTGAAGCGCATTGTAAACCACCAGCTGAGTCCAGCTGCCCGCACGCACCTGAATGGTTTGCATCATTTTGAGCCTGATGACTTCTTTGGTCGGTGAATTCTGGCGTGACCAACGCTTCTTCTTAGGAGCGCTTTCTCCGGTTGGCAGCCCACTGTGTAGGCTATGACCCTGGTCAACTTGCGTTTTTGCCCACCCAACAAGTGCGCGATGCATCGGCGACACGTTTTGCGAAGGCGCTGTCAGAGCGCGTGGAGCGAGTGGAGCGCGTGGAGCGAGTGGAGCGGGTGGAGCGGGTGGAGCGCGTTGAGCGGGTGGAGCGCGAGAAGAAGCCAGAGCCAAAGCCGCCGGGATCCTCAGCTTCCGACTCTGAATGTCAGATGGTGAACTGGCGGGTTCATTTGCCATGGTGGTTGGCTTGCTTGTATTCTACTGGGAGTCCAAGGCAGTCATAGACTCTTTCACCCCAGCCGGAGCAAAGTGGGGGAAGGTTCTGAAGCAATCGCAGTTCCCCGTGATGCGCCTGCGCAACCTATCCGATGCCTGGAGGGCGACCGACCCGGCACAGCAGCACAGCACTGTAGGCTGAAGTGCGCAGAAGCACATTTCACGGCCCCAAAGAGACGGCCCACAGCCCATGCCAGCAGTAGCATCACGAGCCAGGACATGTTTGCGTGTCATGCTGCTTCGAGTTGAATAGGCCGGGTCAGAGCAAGGCAAGGAGAGTAAAGCGATTACGACCAGCTGGTCACAACTTCTACCATTGGACCGACAGCTTTGGGGCCAATTGCTACCGCAATCATGTGGCTCAATCACATGGCGATGGGCAGACTCCCGAATTTGGAATTGGGCCAAGTCAACAGATGGCAGAGCCTCCGCTTCACCCCGCTCGCGACTCCTGGAAGACTCCCTTCTGGTTGGCTAAAAGTTGGGCAAGCCAAAGACAAACTGCTTCAGGGGGTCCAACAAGCCACATATGAAGGTTTGTCAACACAGGGGCCTCTGGAACAGAAAATCAGGGCCGCTCTTGCGAGTGGTAGAAGAGGTGAGGTAGTGCAACCTGCATGTACTGTCGGCTTATTTGACCTGCCCTCGACTCAACCCCCGGACTCAAATGGCTTCCAGTGTAACCTCAGCCTGCCCCTTTTGACCCCGCAGGGGCTTGAAACTATGTGGTCGCAAGGATCCGACTGCTGAATGGCCATTTTTTTCCAGTTGGTTTTAAAAGGAGTCGATCACTACTAGTATTATTTATTATTATTTTTTCCAGGGGGCTCAAGCAAATGGAAGACCATGCCAGCATGGTTGATGTGGTGACCCCCATAAGGCCGTGGGCCGGACATGCCTTGTGCGGTTTTGGGGTCCCCGCTGGACCCGGTGTGTGTTCTTATCCTCGCGGATCTGAGGGAGCGCAAAGCTTCAAGCTCGGATGATGAGAAGGAGTTCGAGGGGGGCGCCTAACGGGCCCAACGCATCAATCGGGCTTGCCGACTTTGACCCCGAATGAAGAGATTGGGGTAAGACGAGCTCACTTGGCAAGTTTGTATTTGGGGGGTATC